GAAAGGGAGAAATGGAGCAACATCCTGTCCTCCAACCCAGGAAATAGCACCACATCGGGTCAGGGCCTTTCCATGTTGTCTGTCCTTACCATAGACTGTAAATATAAAGAACTTTACTCATTAGATACCATCATTTATAGGCTGCAAATGAAAACATAAAAGCTAGATTGCCCATTTTATGTAATCATCATTATTGTTCCCAGGCCCTTTTTACATAGTGTCTCAGCAGTGCCTCAGCAGAATGTAGTTTTACAGGTCGTTGACAAAGTCTTCTCCACATTCAATCATCCGTCTCAGTGCGCTCAGTATCAGTGTATCAGTGTCATCACTTGTCTCGTGCTCTGAGTGGTAGTTCTTCACAGGAAAGATGCAGCTTGGAGGGAAACCCAGCTCGCCACTCGCCTCCTCAATCTACATTTAAGAATTTGACATTCAAGAAATGAAACTGCTGATCCAAGGAGATGTTGCTGTTACAATATTAAACAGTAAAACAAAATGATATCCCAAAATGAATTACAACTCTTTACAAACTACATTACAGACAGAAACGTACCTTTTTCTTCAGGTGCTTGCTCTTATACACGTTCCTTATATCCCTGCCGACCTCTGGACAGGCTTCATCAATTTTGGTGAGAATAGCAATTTCAGGAATGTCTGCCAATACAGAGCAGAATCAAAATCAGTTAAAAATAATGTTGGTACAGTTATTTTATTGCATTATCATATTTGTTCTTATTATATAAAATAGAATATATATATAATTTATGTCAGATCTAATGTTATGCATTATTGTAAAAGCCTAACCCTTACCCATGTCCCTGGCTGCAAGTCTGACTTCCCTCAACTTTCTCACAGAATCATCCTGCATTCCTGCTATGCTGCCAGGGTTGATACAAACTAGAACATGAACTCTGTCATTTAGAGAGGGGTCTCTGTTGTAGTGTTGATCATTCTCAGACAAGGAAGACCGAGGATTGAACTGAAAAACAATGTTAAATTGAATCAAAAAATAAGATTAGAAATCAGAAATACAATAGTTTCTATTGGAACCTTGTTAGTTTTCCATATTTCATCTGCAAACTATTTATCATGCAGGGATTGTGTTCCTCAAATATATGCAACAGAGATAAGATTTAATTAATTCAGTTGTACATTGTAACCATTCTTCACGTGTCCCTTCATGGCCAGTTTGATGTCTTCCACACAAACTCCTTCATCCTTCTCGAGGCCCATTATGTCATTGAAGACAAAAGGGTAATGTGTCCCTGGAACCTTTTGGATTGTGTACTCTCTGTACTGTAAGACAAGAAAGTCCCGTTACCATAATGACATGGCTGTTAGGTTGCCTTAAAGGTCAAAACATTACATCATAGATAGTATCAGAGGGATGAAACCCCTCTTTAATGGTCATATATGCAGAGCACACAGCACACACAGTGACATATGGCCTCTGCATTTAACCCATCCAAGGAGTCTAGTACTAGGAGCAGTGGGCAGCTATTGTACAGCGCCCGGGGAGCAATGGGAGTGGGGGGGGGGTTGCCTGGTCCCTTGCTCAAGGGCACCACGGCAGGGCCCAGGAGGTGAACTGGGACCTCTCCAAGTAGCAGTCCACACTCCATATTTAGGTCTGTTCGGGGACCCTATGGCTCCTTGTCCAAGCCCCTACTGACTGAGCCACTGATTGGCAAGTTAACTCTTTATATGATTCATCAGAGGTAATATTTTCATTCATGTTATTATTATTTTAAACCTTTCTCTCCTTTCATCCTTCTGCCATTCGTGTCAGAAGTAGATGTAGTGGGGAGGAAATAGGTGCGGCATATATCAATATTTTAGTTACACTATATTGTGAAATTACAAAGAAAGCTTTCATTTTCCTCTGCCACACTTGTTCTCTCCCTCCACTTCATGTCCAGTTAAGTAATTTCCCCGTCTGTGCTGCGGGTCTAGCTGCGTTGTTCTCTCTGTCCAGCAGAGGTCCTCACTGTGTTTCTGATGTACAGTTTGGCAGCTCCCTCCAGTCAGGCAATGATCCGGTCCCTCTGTGTTCCTGTGTGCCTGCCCCAGTTCGTCTCTGCTTGTTATTTAGTGTCCCTGCCTGAGCAGTCAGCCCTCCCATGTTTCCTCGTATGCTTTAATCTTTTGCTTGGTCCTCAGACCTCAGTGGAGCCCTAATCCTGTTTCCTGGTCCGCTGCTCTGCATTCTGGTTCTTGCTCGGTGCTTGACAAGCGGTTTGCTTAGTGATGTGTTTAAAGCAGGCCACCTTTCCCTCTAGCAATGTGCAGATATAGGACCAAATGTATCTGGAAACTTGGTTACTAAGAGCATATTTTAGTCTTCATCATCGATCACATTTGTTTTGTATAAACCAATTTCACAAATTAGGCTAAAGGGTTTTTAAAAAATGTAACAAAAGACCTTCTGTCCTTAGACCCTCGCAATAGACAAGGAACACTCCCCAAAAGAGAGGCCTCAAATTATGTTTTTCTTAAGTTCTCCCTGGTCTTGCATAACAAGAACTTTTGTTTGCGCTGCTCCCATTATCATTCTACTACAGGGGGTAAAACAGCGATGCAAAACAGAGACACACAGATAGTGGAAGGGTAGAAGAAATCCACATGATTTTCCCTGCAACAGGCTTATACCCACACTCTCTATCCGGTGAGTCAGACTTAAGTTCCTCCTGATAAATCCCTTCACAATCAACAACAGATGTGCAGGTGTAAAAAATAAGTATTACTGTGAGGCAAGTATTCTCCCGTCAGCTTAAGGCATTAGTTTTAGGATGTTGTTGTGTGATAAAAAACAAGACGCCACGCTCAGTCTTAAACTGATCCACAGTATGGCAGAATGTAAACATCAGCAGAATAGCCGAGGAAATGTTGAGTTGCATGTCAAAGTCTGTATTTTGTAGCCACATACTGTGCACGACTGTTTACCCATTGATGTGTTTTGCCACCCTTTATCACACACAAGAAGCTGGAACAGACACACAGAGAAGCTCAACGGAGCCTCTCTAAATGCATGTTTGTGTTGAACATTATTCCACCTGCTGATCCTCAAGATCCAAGACGCAATCTCACAAAGCATGTCTGGCAACCAAGATAAAAGCAGGAAGAGGTACAACATCCGGATAGTATAAAACAACAGGTTTTAGATGCCTTGTAAACAAAGGCTCTAACAACACTGTAAAAACAGTCAACAAAACTCAATTTTTTAATGTAATTGACTGGTCCTAAATTAGTTTTTGTTCAATGCGCGTTTAAGTAACAATGAGAACATGTTTTAAGAACTCATTAATTTGTAAATTAATATGGCATTTTCTGAACTCTCTGATTTGGAAAACTTCATTAAAAAAAGTTTTTGTCAACGCCACGGTCATGCCACGCCCTCAAACGAGAATACCGCAGTGTGAGACTTCCTGTTCCTCTTTGCAGCGATTCTTCAGCAGTTGGACACGTGTTTGCGTTGGATCCTCTTCACCTGAGTTATTAATTACTGCTTTTTAACTAGCAAGTGTGATGTACTTCTCTTGTATTCACAGTTTTGAACGAAACATCGACATTTTAATGCATGCCAGCGCCATTAATGCTGTTAAAGTTAGACTCAGCCCTGTCGTGCTCATGTAGTCTATTTTTTCGTGCAAATTGTGTTGGGCAAAGTTTGCATCAAGTGTTACCGACGCAATTATGTTAAAAGTGGTTAAAGGGGACCTAGAGGAATGAGAGACAGCTCGAAAGCGCTGAAGACGCTGTAGTACATATGCCAGGCCTGTAAGTGGCGCTGTGGCAGAATCAGCCCTTGCAAAAACAGGGCTGGAAAAGAGCAAATAGAGAGAAATGAGGCATGGCTAAAATGCATGATCTGTTTGGTATTTTGAAAAAAAGACTTCACAGACATGTTTTATAGGTATGGCCCTCCAATATATGTCTCAAATATAGCATAATTGGTCCACTTTAAGTTAAGAGTACGTATTAAGAATCAACTCTGCAAACTGATCCCCTGTGCCGCTCTTGTCACGGTTTTAAGTTTGTGTGTCTGGTAGTGGGTGTTTTTCTGTTCTCCTTGTCATGTTTTCCTCTCTGTCTTTTTTTCCCTGTGGTTTCCTGTCTGTCGTTAGTTTTCCCTGGTGTGTCTAATTTCCTGATTATTTTCACCTGTCACCCCTTCTGTGTCTCCTGTGCTAATCAGCGTCAGTTCCGCCCCTGATTATTCCCACCTGTGTCTTGTTAACCTGTGTTTAAATTCCCCTGTCTCCCAGTGTTCAGTGTCAGTTCGTTTTCGTCTCTTGTCATGTTCAGGTCTGTGTTCTATTGTCTCTTGCTGTGGTCAGGTCTATGCTCCTTGTGCTTTTGAAAACTGTGATTCCTCACTACGTGAGCGCTTTCATTTTTTGTTCTCTATTTTTGTCATCTCGGCTAGAGATTTGATAGTTACCTTTTTTGTTATTCAATGCTGTTTTGGAAAATAAAGTATCCAACAAATACTTTACCTCTGTCTCCCGGGTCGTGCAATTGGGTCCTACATCCTATAAGTGTCTGAGATCTTAACAGCTCTAAGCGTTGGCCGGGCACCGTGATGCGGCCGCGGGGCTCAGAGGCTCTCCTGCCGTGCATGTTGTGCGGTAAAATGCCTCCGCTAAAGCTATTCCCTACTACTTTATAACCCAGCGGTTATGTAAGAGTAAGTTACTAATGCGCCTATTTGATATTAATTCCTCTGTATGTATTTCTTCGTTTGTTTTACTGTGAGCAATTAATTATCTCTCTAGAATCTTAGATGTGTACCCAATTTAAACTCATAGTCTGCAGTTACAGCAGCAAGTTATTATACAAAATTAAGTGCAAACTATATTTTTCATGCTTATGCATCGCTATAGATGCAAATATAGGAATCTGCAGGAGAGTTAACGTTTGCTCTCAGTATCCAGTGACGGAGGTGACTTCAGTCAGGCCCAATTTAGTAAAAGTGTGTATTGGGCAAGCTGCATTTATAAGGTCAGCAAGATGTGTTCAATATAGTCCAGTAAAATGCAGTCTTTACCGAGAAATATCAATAAATACAGTTTTATTAAGGAGATGTTTTACCCTAATATAAAGTAGATATTAGACAGTATGCAAACGAGATAAAGGAGTGTATATTTAAGTAATTAGGATCTGCTGTGTAGAGAATCATGGAATTGTACTGGTATCTACCAATACCATCCTTAATAAATGCCATCCTTATAAATGTATATATATACAATACCGTTTGAAATGATACTTGTGTTTTAATTATGTTTGATTCCATTAATTGAATTAAAGATGTTTTAATGAATTCTACTGAAATGATTGTTACATTGTCATCATGTAACTATTTTGTTCTTTTATTTGCCCAGAAAACAGTCACACCTCCTCTTGAAGACATTTTGCCTCCTGCTATCGACTTCAGGTTCACATCAGGTAAGCCCTTGAGTGTGTCAGACTAAAGTTGTTGTTTCACAGTTTAATTCAAGACGTGTTATGTATATATATACTAATATAAAGAACATCAGTTACACGTAGCCATTTCAATTTTTTTTAATCACAGATGGGATGGAGATGTAAACTATGCAGAATGTCACCACCACAGACTGTATATATAAAGGTAACCACTCAAAGTGATATTTTAAAACATTATCGACTCCATCATTGAACCTTTGGACAGAAACGTGCCTTGCCCTGCATTCATGTAGACTGGCCTGCGCTCTCACTTATCAAGATAAAAGTTGAAATAACCGTCTGTTCTTTTTATTCGAGGACCCATGTGCCACTTTATATACATCTCTGAGCATGAGGTTGGGTTAAAAATAAGTAGTTGGACATTTTATGAACTATATCAATATCATGACTATCTGTTTCATTTTCTTACAAACCAGACTTCTTTTTGATGACTTAAACCCCTTGTAATGCATGTGAATAGCACCTCTGTTACCGTCTGTTAACAGCTAATGTAAACTATCTCGTTATGATTTCAAGACGGATTTGATTTTAGTTTTGAGGAAAACACATGGTGTGTCCTGATTTGTACTCAATTTAGTGTTTTGTTTGTATTTACAGGGAACAGCAGAGGTCGAAGTGCAACAGGCTCGTGATGCACAGCATGAAGTTATACGCTGCCCACGAGCCAGATGCACTAAAAAATAACCATCAAGTAATAACCATGTGTCTCCATGTATGTGTTTTGCTTTTAAATAACTTGTTACTGTTTTATGAAAACTGTTTTGAAATAATCACATTTTAATAAAAGGTATTAACATGTCCATAACGTTTTCGTTTAATCTGCAATGTTTCGATGCTATCAAATATTTAAAGGGTTGGATTGAAATCGGGAAGAGTTTGGTCGTATATAGGTTCCGGCAACTCAATTGTGTTTTATAATTTACTTTATTTATTCTTGTCTTATGTGGTTCTTAGCAGATT